CGAGCATAACATAGCGGTTAGCAGATCAATGAATGAGAGGGCAGTGTTACCAGAGTTGCCCATTTACCACACCATGTTACAACACAGTAGGGCTATTGCAGACAGAAACAATACTGTACTACATCGATGTTTCCTGTCGGCTCGATTTTTGAGTGGACTTTGCTGTTCCGATTCGCATGAGTATGAGTGGAGCGACTGAGCGGAACGCACATGCATAGAGCGGGATAATACGCAGAGCGTCACACCACGTGAAAGTGAAACCTGAGCGGTGAACTAATTTTCGGCAGCCGAAATTTCGGTGCATCTCTAATTATTGGCGACATTAGCAATTTAAAAATATTAAAAAATGATTTTTTACACGGCACCCCTGCTCTCAACAGACGGCACCCCGTTTGGGAAACACTGCTCTATGGTATTTGTTTGATTTAGGGAGATCAACTACCTTGAAAGTAGAGCTCCAAACCTAAATAATCAACTTTGTAATTGGCAATCAAGCAATTTCACCCAATTAGAAAGAAATGAAACAATAGACTGTAACAGATTTATTTTATTTATTAAATATAAAGGCATGTTTTGTTGTCATTTGAAAACATTATGCCTCATGTTGTGTTATTTAAATGCGTTGTATTTTAACCAGTGTAAAACAAGCTGAAACATTACAAGTAAGGAAATACACATTTGCTATGCTTTCCTTTAAGGATAGTCACGGTGACCTTGAGGAACTGGAACCATGGATGAACCTTTAGAGACAAGAACTTCCTTTTGTCACATATTTTTCAGCAGCACTATATTCATAATATTTGGTTTTAGACTATTTTAGCTGTTTTTGTTTGTTTAAGAGTAGTACGCAATCTCTGTAAAAAAACAAAATGGATAACACTTTCTATGAAGCCTGTATTTATAATACATTATAAGGGTATTCTTAAGGCATTATAATGAATGAATAACGCATTATAAAAAAAATTATATGTTGTAGCATCTCATAAATAATCATAAGAACAGTTTTAATGTATTATAATACTTACTTATTTGTGGTTATAGCTTTTAAGGGTACGATGATTTATAACACACAAGGAACATGTCGCATCCACTTAACTTACAATTAATTATATTTCCCATAGTTATAATGCATTATAAGTCTCATATCTTACCATTGTTTAAGATCTGCACAATAGTACCTCTTATTAGCGTTTTTACTGTAAAATGACAAACACAAAGTCTTCATGAAAACATCCAAAAGGCTTTATAATGTGGTCTTATTATTTATAGATCTATCTGCACAATAACTTAGTACATCTTATTAGTGTTTTTACTGTAAAATGACAAATACAAAGTGTTCATGAAAGCATCCAAAAGGCTTTATAATGTGGTCTTATTATTTATAAGTGGTCTTTGTCTGCTTTAAAGTAACTTCACTTTACTTAAAGCAGACAAAGACCACTTATATATAATAATAATTATATTTTTTTCTCTAACAGCCATAAAATCAGATGTCAGATCAGATGAATGTTTTCACATTTGCATTGAACTATTTTTATTGTAATATCAGTATGGTTATTTTGATGGTACCTTTAGACAACTGTTGATAAGTAACTTTGCAACTACATGTCAAATAGCAGTCATTGGAGTATTTGTAGGATGTCTGCTAAATATAAAACTTTATTTTGATGGTTCACCATGTCAGGGGTTGCCAGGCGAAGGAGCTTGAAGAAGTACGAAGGAGGCAGATATCAAATAAACAGAGTCTTTTAATAAATCCACTTTGGAAAAACCAGGAGAAAACAAATTCTTTACATGACAGACAGGACAAAAAAACTGAGGAAAGGCATGGCTATTTATACAAAACCAAATGATGGACTAATAAGATGACTAATGCAACACAGGTGGAAACTAATGAATGATGATTAACTAAATGAGAACAGGAACTGAACCAAATAAGGGCAGACAGGAACTAAACAGAAACAAACACGTGACACCCCAACAGACATTCAACTGACTATAAGCAACTTTGCAAGTAGGTCAACTTATTCTACCAACCCTAACCTTAACCTAAGTCTACTAATACTCTAATGAGAGTTAGATGACATGTAGTTTCAAAGTTGTTTACAGTCAATACACTAAGGGGACCATGAAAATAAAATGTAATGTAATATCAAAAAACATTGCATTTTTTCATTTGAAAGTATTACAACTGATCTTAAACTAGCTCACAGCATAATCACATTAACCTCACAGGAAACACTCAAAAACACTCTCCTAAAAACTCCCAAGATGTAGTAAGATACTGTGCAGATCTTAAATAAACAATGGCTACGTTTACATGCAACCAAATAATCCGTTTGTAATCGGATTGACGGCTCAATCGGACTGAAAAGCCTTAATGTAAACACCTTAATCGATCCGATTGAGCTCGATCGGAATGAAATTTCGATCAGATTGAATGGGGTGGTTAATTCTTTTTCAAATACGATTGAGAGTGCATG